TTGGTTCTCACATGCAATTCCCAAGCATAGTTTCATTTGTTGGCTAGCAATATTGAACAGATTAACAACAAGAAGTAGACAGATAGAAGAAGTGGACCCCTAGTATTGAAGACACTTGCTTGTTTTGCAGCTCAAGAGTAGAAACTAATGATCACTTGTTTTTTCAATGCCAGTTTAGAAAAAAAGTATGGCAAACTGTTTGTGGCATGGCAGGAATTCCTTTATTTTGTTCTTGGCAAGGGCCATTAGCTTGGCTAGGTAAAAGGATTAGAAGGAAGTCCCTATACTGTGCTCTTATAAAGCTTGCGTGGAATGCTACTGTGTATTATGTTTGGAGAGAAAGGAACAACAAAATTTACAGGCACCAGTTCAAATCTGTTTTACAAATTGTGGATGATATTCTTTTTGTGTGAGGAACAAGGTTTTAGCCTTGGCAACATCAAAGTCCTCTTCACTACCAATGTCTATAGCAGCATAGTAGGGGCTCGTAGAGATTCTAGAATGACCAGTACAGTCTTAGATAGATGAATTCTTTCTTTGATTGGAGTTGTAATTGATTGTAGTAGCAAGTGACTTGCTGCTTATGTGTACATACCAGTTTTTTGGATGAATAAAACCTTACATTTTATCCAAAAAATTATAGAGTTAAATTACCATAGGTATCATAAGCAAATGACGACGTCAATAAGTTCTTGACCCTTTCATCAATCTCCAAATTTGCAACTATAAAGTCAACCAATTCATTATAGAGCTAAATTATGGATAGTTTTTGTGGAAGGAAAACCGCCACTTCTGATGTTTGATTAGGATTTGAAGCTTATATATAAAATGATTCATAAAACAAGCATACATAAACATGTTTCCAGCATGCAATCATAGGAAAACTGAGATATCCAAGCAAGGAAAGATGGATTACAAACCGTATGTCAGATAAAGAACCCTTCCCCAAGGAAGCTGATGTGCCCGTGAAATCAAGAATATCATCTATCAATCGATACGCCAACCCCTGGAAAGAAGAAGATTCAAAAGAAGGGTAGAAAGAGAAATGTGAGCCTAGAAGACTTACACACAAGATTAATCCACAGTAAGCACCCCGAGATTGCATTGGTAGGGCATCCATTTTGCGATTTATCTTCCCTTCATTGTAATATTTACTTACAGATTTGGCATTGGAGAGCATGTTTCCTCTCTGAAATCCCAAGTTCATTTTAAAATTGTTGCTAAGATTCTAAGTTTACCTAACAGAAAAGCTCTAAACTAATTTAAATCATCACTAAGCTTCAGGTAGATAGAGCAGTTCAGTAGTTCAAGGTATGGAGGGAAGACCCAAAATCTTCAATACTCCAAATTTAATGAAGTTTGCTACTTGCAATAAATTTTTAGATAAAATAAACTAGGAAATCTACAAACCACATTCTTTCCATAATCAAAAGCCAACTCTGCAACTCCTGCTGTTTGGCCAGATAGAAGCGCCATTGCCTTGCAGCTGTTTGATATGAATGATGCTGTCTTGTTGTATGACTTGTCCATATGATACTCCATACTGCTACCATTAATTATTAATTTTCACATATGATATAGACTAATAGAAACATAAACCCTTGGGAAGCAAATGCGAACTTTTGAAGCAGCATGCCTTTGAAATATAATTCACAAATAGATACAGCTAACTTGCAAGTTCTACTCCATGTCATGCACATCAATAGTCATGTGTGAAAGGTCAGGAGAAAGAAAAAGCCAAAACTAGCAAATAGATTCTACTACAATGTAGCAGTCACCTAAGGACCCTACCATGGTTGGGTCACAGGTTTTACTCCAATCACTGACTCAACAACTGGGTTAAATCTTTTTTAGCACAGTTACACAAGAAACAGCAGAATGACATACCTATAATGTTGGTCAGTTGTAGCCATCATTTGCATGGTTTCACCTGTTACAAGAATCTCAACAGCTGTTGCTAGCAATGATACGGCCTGAGGGCACAGACAATAATGTGCCATGGGTTCAGCAAAATTTGAATAAAACAAATACAGGTTCAATTCTTACTGAAATTTTCCAAAACAAAAATATCAATCTTAGTTCTTGACCTGGCCAGTGGCACCGCCATTATTCAAGAAAATGAAACCTAAATGGAGTTTATTAGAAGATATAGATTTTTCCACTATCAATATCCTTGCCCCAGCCATGAATTACGTTTTCTGCTAAGATCCTCCTACAAACAAAGTTGGGGCATGGTATGGGACACTTAAAAGCTTCTCCAAAAAGGTGTAATGTTAGGTGATCAATGTCTATAATTGATCAACTAGAGGCCTTTCTTCTTTCACATAAATAAATACATGAAAATAGATGTATTTTTAAAAGCATATCTCTGCGTTTTCCAGAGAAGCAAGGACTTTGACACGCAAAAACAGAAAATTGCTGGCTAATGCTGCTAACTACATTAAGGAATAGAGAAAATCAACCTCAAATAACAGAGGATCTATGAAGTACTTACTAAATCTTTTAAAACAAAGCAGGGAAATTCATACAGTCATTCAAAGTTGATGGCATGAACTAAAGCTGAATAACAAAGGACAAAGATAAACTAAAGCTTATTGAAACCTGCATAAACATACTGATTGGCTGCACTTCTATAGAATGTCCTCTCAAGGAGTATTCATACCCATGTGAGCAAAAAATCACAAATGCATAGTAAAATATTGTTCTTTCTGCATGTTTTCCCATACATGCATCACACAGGTATCATTTTGACCATATAATGCATTCAGTTATTAGGATATTTCCAAATATGACATCCATGCAGAGGGGCAAGGATAATGTTCTTCATCTGTCTATTGTTAATGCACACAGATTAAATAGAATTGCAATCACAATCCATTGACTCCACAAATATTTCTTATTCATTAAAGTATTCTGAAATGCACTCTCACTCAGTATTCATCGTAGACATGTGTTAACCATGGAACTCTTCTGAGAAATGTGAAAATAATGCCAAATCAACTAAAAGAAAGAAAAACATTTCAAAGTTACAGCACAACAGTGTTGGATATTACAGGACAAGGTGAGGACTATAGTTAAGCGGCCTTTTCTTAGAGCCACATCATATATCACTTATGCCCATAGAAAAAACACATTTTTATCTCAACTGCTAAGACAGGCCACCCGTAAATTCTACATTTCAAGTGATAACATATAAAATGAATAAAAAGTTCAATGAAGATACCATACCCAGAAAACTTTCATCCTAGTGATTAAATAAAATAAGGAAATAAAAAAGTTTGAAGCAGAAAACCAAGAATATATTAAAAGCATTATAGGAAGGAGAAAATGGAAAACAAGAAAATTTGTAGTAATTAGTAATTAACCTTATTTCCCATTACAAAATTCAATGGACCAATACCGCGTCTAGTATCTGCCCCATCCAAGATATCATCCTGAATAGGGCTTGCAACCTAAGATCATGAGATGATGACGTTAGTTAAGAAAAAGAAGTTTATTGACATGAAAGCAAAGACTACAATGGATCAATGGGGTGTATACAGCACAATATAGTATTTGATTAAAGAAACAGAATCCTCTAAGTGACTGACATGAATCATCTCTGTATTCTCAGCCTAGATTTGCTGTCTCCTACGAAGTTCAATTTCCAAAGCATGTGCAACGCCATAAGGAGGTGATTCAGCAGTAGGACAATCTATAGCTGTAGCCATCAACAGTAAAACCTGCATAGAATCCATCCTTTGTATGTGTAGGAAAGATGGTTAGACATCTATAATTTGCTAATGTTTCTGTGTTCCTTAAGTAGAACCTAGATGTAATGAATTTTGCAATTTGAAGGTATCATTGAACAAGGGATAAAAGATGACCATAAATATCCCAGGAGTTAGGACTAGGGGATAAACAAACTAAAATATCAGAATTTAAGGAAGCTAGGTGAATCATTGGTGGACTTGGACTATTAAGTGACTACCTCAAATCACTTATTATCTCATCTCTGTTTACAAACTTGTTTGAAAAAGATCTAGTGGAGGAATTTGAAGTTAAACGGAATTGTTACTGTGACAAGGGCCACTTTCCTTCCACACCTTCTTTGAAGTCAAAGTCAAGATGATGACTTTGATAAATAATAAATAAATGACAAAGCTTTTACTCGCCAATAAAAGAGTGACCAGTGGTTACATAGGTAAGATTTGAGTCGTATCCCATGTGGGTGGGATTAAGTGGCAGATATTTTCGATAACCAGATGGGCTAAGAAACCCTTTGTAATCCTCTCCTGATTGCCGAAAAAGTAAGTGGCTTCTTGTTTTTTCAGCGTTTTCATTTGTTGCTGATATTAAGTTGCAATTTTGATATATTTGTGTTTCTTTAGTGATGTGATCTCTGAATTTAATCTGATTTTTCTCACATTTTCCCCTTCTTTCTTTATACAAGTATTATTTTGATCTTCTCATCAATGATTGAAGTTATATTGGTGTAGTTGTGGAATTGCTGGGTGGAATATGTCGAACTATCGAGATGAGACTGAATATCCTGCAGATGAATATGAAATGAAGGATGTAGATGATGACATGGATGAAAATAACTATTTGGTTTGTGATATGTTTTACAAGATTCATATTGCCAAACTCGAACTGCTACTTTGTATTTTTAGTTTAGGCAGATGTTGATTTAGCTTTATGTGCAACAGGCAACTCCAGGCTACTTCTTGTGAGTTTTATTTGATCATTGAGGACTCATAACTGTTGAATTTAATTTGACTTTGTTACAGAATAATAAAATATCCGAAACTTCTGCTGCTCAAGCCAGAGGAGGAACAGACATCCAGGGAATTCCATGGGATAGTTGTGGCATTACTAGGGAAAAATATAGGCAGACTAGGCTAGAACACTACAAGAACTATGAGAATATCCCTCACTCTGGAGAAGGGTCAGGGAAGATAGAAGATATTTTGGTTACTTCTTTTCTTTTTGTATCAGTGATGATTGTTTCTAGGAGTTTAATGCTTGATCCTGTGTTTCTTTTCTGTTTTAAACAGGATTGCCAACCTACAGAGAAAGGTGCATCTTATTACGAGTTCATACAAAATTCAAGATCTGTGAAATCAACCATAATTCATTTTCAGGTAGCTACCAATTCTGATTTTCCTATCTTCCAGCTTATCAAATTGCTTAGTAGTTAGTACCATGGTCTTTGGAATTAGTAATCTGATTAGCTAAGATGAATTGTCTTTCATGATTCCTAAGAAATATAATAGCCCATTTAGTATGGGTTACTGAAATGATACTAGAAAGAATCACTGTGGAATGTGGAGGGCCTGGTGCAATGTAGGCTAGAAATGTTTTACAAGCCTTGAAATGATAGGATATGTGTTATGTTTGACTGACAGATATTTAACTTTTTGGTGATGCAGTTAAGAAACATGGTTTGGGCTACATCGAAACATGATGTCTATCTTTTGTCACATTTTTCTGTCATTCATTGGTCTTCACTTACATGTAGCAAGCATGAGGTGCTTGATGTTTCAGGTCATGTTGCACCATCTGAGGTTGGTGTTCTAGGAATGATTTGGGTTGATAAAGAACCTTTTTATTTCTGTTATCTGTGGAATAATCTTTTTTCTTTCAGAATTGTATCTTTTTGGAGATCACTGATTTTTCTTTTAATATCCAAACAGAAACATCCTGGAAGTTTCTTAGAAGGTTTTTCCCAGACTCAAGTCACTACTCTTGCAGTGAAAGATGATTTGCTAGTTGTTGGAGGATTTCAGGGAGAATTGATGTGCAAGGTGAGTTACAAAGTCTTTTTAATTAATCTTGTATATTGATATAAAATTTGCCACTCATATACATAGATTTATATATTTTGTCAGTCTAACGATTCCATATTTTAAAGTTAGATAGCTTAAAAAACGAGGATTAAAGGAAGACAAGAACTTGGACTTGTTAGTATTTTTCTGTCATCATCTATCTTTCAGGAACTAATTACTTGGACTTGGTTTCATTGGAATGCAGCATCTAAATCAACAGGGAGTGAGCTTTTGTTCAAGGGCAACACATGATGATAATGCCATAACCAATGCTGTTGAGATTTATGTCACACCCAGGTATTTCTGCTTTCTTGAGCAGGTTGTGGCATTAATCACATCTCTGGAACTGGGACCTAATGTCAATTCTCAATTACCAGTGGTGCAGTTCACTTCACTGCCTCCCATAATGATTGTGGGGTCAGAGATTTTGATGTGGAGAAATATCAGCTTTCTAAGCATTTCCATTTTCCTTGGCCAGTGAATGTAAGTCCCCTTCATTTTAAAGTGTAAGATCATGACAACCTTCACTAGTTCAATTCCATCTGTTCCTTCTCTGTTGATGAACTAAACGGGGTTTGGATGTGATTAAGCATATTAGCATTCCGTTTTTTGCAACAAATATTTTAAAATGTCAGTTTTGATTAACATATCTTTTGTTTTTTCATTGTTTGCTATCTTTTTAATACGATTTTGAGGCCTAGTCATCTAAGCTGTGGACTGGTTTCATGTGTGAATGGCAGATACAAATTAACCCAAGTAAATTCATTGCTTTGTCTGCTATTGTTGCAGCATAGTTCTTTGAGTCCTGATGGGAAACTTCTAACAATAGTTGGAGACAACCCTGAGGGGATGTTGGTGGATTCCAGTTCTGGAAAGGTACTTCTTTGCTTTCATTTTGTTGGTTAATAAAATCAATGCTATTATGCACATATCCGACTGTTGAATAGGCTAACATCCAACATTTGAAATTTGTAAACTTTGCAGACTGTAGCATCCTTGCAGGGGCACTTGGACTTCTCGTTTGCATCAGCTTGGCACCCTGATGGTGTTACATTTGCCACTGGAAACCAAGACAAAACTTGCCGAGTTTGGGATGTTCGAAACTTGTCCAAGTCAGTTGCTGCTTTAAAGGGTAACCTGGGAGCTATCCGGTCCATCCGCTACACATCAGATGGTGAGTATATGGCAATTGCTGAGCCTGCTGATTTTGTACACTTGTATGATGTTAAAAGTGGATATGTGAGGGAGCAAGAAATTGATTTCTTTGGGGAGATCTCTGGCATATCATTCAGCCCTGGCACAGAGTCTCTGTTTATTGGAGTGTGGGATAGAACATATGGTGGCCTTCTTGAGTATGGGCGTCGGACCAATCTGCATTGAATGGATTCGGCAATATGAAAATCAATTGCTCTAGCCATTAACAGCAAAAAACCTGCATGGAAATAGGATCCATCCTCTGTATTTGTTAGACATCTATAATTTGCTAATGTCTATGTTCCTTAAGTTGAACCTAGGCTATATGTGCTATGGGATAAACAATATGATTGCAGAATTGATTGTATGATTGGTTTGCAAATAAAATGGATTCATAAGTGAATTTAGTTGTAGGAAAACTGTTTATCACTAAATCTGTAAAATATTAAGAGGAAAAATACTTTAAAATTATTTTATTTTAATAAATTTTCATTTAAAAAATATTAAAATAACTTATTTTTAAGCTAATAGCTAAGAGGATAGTTGTTTGTTTATAAATTTTATGTTAGGGGGATGTTCTGGTTTGAGTTGCTCCTTATACTCTTTTAATAAACTAAATTTGTCTTTGCTGATTAAAAAAAAAAATAGTGCTGTGGTCCGTTTTTAGTTGCAATCAAACGCCGCCTCACAGATTTGTTAATGAATATAACCATACAAGTTGGGCCGCTGTTAATAAGGTATCATATAATATTGATGAATAACAACATATTACTCCACGAGATGCATGCTCTAAGTTTTCTTTCTTTCTCAGGCTGCACCCTTGACAGACTCTTTTTCCCTTTGGACTGCTGGCTATAGAATCCATGGACACCTTCTCTTTGAATCCAACTTTCCTCTCCTTGACATCTCCCATGGTGGGACTAACATACGCCTCCATATTCACAGCTTTTTTTGCTGCAAGATTTTGGCCAAGCAAGAGGGGTTTCA